CCTATTTTTCATACTCTTTTTTTCATTATTTTGTGTCAATTTATCTCAAAATAAATGAAAAATATTATATTTTAGCAGCATTTTAATAATTTATTGTTATGAAATACAGCATGAAACATCGGTGAATTTTTCTGCAATAATGGTAAAATCGTTCAAATACGGCTCACTTCCAAACAATAGTTTTTCAAATTTTTAGTTATTTAGATCTAAGAGAAACAGCTATTCATTAATGTAATTTCGTTAATTTATAAAATTCGTTATTGATAAATGTTTGAATATATATGAAAAAAAAATTTCTTTCAAGCTACTTTTTTTTTCTTTTGGATTTTATATATTTTAGTACAAGTATAATACCGATAAACTAACAGTTTTTTTTTTTAGTAACTTAAGATTGTTTTTTTATAATTAAAAAATACCAAAATTCATTTTTCCTTGTAATTAGAGTGCCAGAAAAAAATATATAAAAGAGGCACCAATGTTCCAATCTGCGTCAAATTAAAGCGATTGATATAACTCGCATAATTTATTGAAATATTTAGATAATTCCCTGGCTTCCGTATTTGAAAAATAGAAAAATAAAAAAGAAACATGGTAACAAAAATTTGAGTTGGGATGAAACGTAATCTTTAATTCCTAAAAAAATTTCTTTTCTGTGTAATATTTATTTTTTAGTCGACTTGCTTATTTATTTTTATTTTAGACTACGCATGTTATTATTATTTTTTTTTTCTCTTTTGATATTTTTATTAATCCAATGTACATAAAAAAAGCATACTTCTCAAATTGGAAAGGAAGAAATATTATTTTAAAAAAGGGCCACTTCAATTAAAACTTAACGAAAGCGTCTCTGATTTTAAATTCGTCTCTGAATTTCGCAGCGTCTTTGATTTTGTCCGACTTGGATAAAAAGAAATATGTTAAAAAGATTAGTTGTAGTGCTGCCATCTAACAATTTTCATTTAAACTAGAATTTGAGTTAAATTTTTCATAAATATGTCAATATAATAAGAAATGAATTCCAATAATTGCTCATGAATTTCTGATAAGTACTTTCAAAAAAATTTAAAAATTAACTTATTAATGATTTTTAGAACTTTTTAATTATTAACTTTAGAGTACTTTTTTTTAAAATTTAATCAACAACAAACAATATGTGTTCAAAATAGTAGTAGTGGTAATGTTCTCTAGTAACATTTTTTCCAACTATAATATTCATTTCTATTTTTCAAAAATAATCAGTGTGATATAAAATCGATTTTAATAATTGCTGATAAATCATTGATAAGTATATTTTTAAAGTATTTTTTGCCTCACGTAATTTTGTATTGAATATAGGTTTTCTGTTCTTTCAAGATGAATTAATTTTGCATATTCACAATGCAAAATTTATTAAAATGACCCCTTTTACTTCATTTTAATTTTTTGTGCAGTTTTGTTCGAAATTTCTTTCGATTTTTTTTTAAAATCTCTTTTTGTAATTTCTAATATTCTATAATTCTTTTTAAAATTTCTTTTTTCTTATATGCCAAGTAGATTTTCGGTTCTTTAAATATTAAACTCGTAAAACTACTAATTTTAAACATTTTTCTAACCATTGGAGCAATTTTAGCGTGTTTATTAAATACAAAATTAACTAAAATAGCTACTTTTATTTTATTTTAATTTTTTACGCAGTTTGTGATGAAAAATAATTTTGAATGTTTGCGAATCAATTATTAATAAATATGTTTTAATTTCTCTTCTTTTATAAGACAAATCGATTTTTGGTTCTTTGAACATTAAACTCTGGAAACTATTAATATTAAAAAAATTTCAAACTTCGGCACGGCATGTAGTTTAAAAGTAAATGTAATTAACAAGTTGTATTATTTTGCATGTTTATACAATACAAAATGAATTAAAATGACAACCTTTATTTCATTTCAATTTCTTATTACATTACGCATTCGTTTTAATTTCTCACGCATACTAAAAGATAAATTTATTGACCCCCCTCCCGTTAAATAACTGCAAAAAACTCATTTTAAAATTACTGAATATCCATTTTAGGTTTTGTTTTACAGAAGAACTATCTGTAGTGTTTAGGAGAATTTTTATCAAATATCCTATGTTCAGGGAGAATTTTTATCAAATATCCTATGTTCAGGGAGAATTTTTATCAAATATCCAATGTTCAGGGAAAGTTTTAAAGAATTATTCTCCATTGCTAAACAGCTGAGACGAGCTTTTTAAAATATTTCGATCAAGGGTAAATTTGATTGTAAACGGTCTGTATACATGTTTGCTCAGAACATGAATTTAATTTGTTGTAACACCTCATCTCTGGTATAAGCTAGGGAGAACTACCAGCCAGAAGTGACAAAAATCATGATTTGAAAAAGAATTAGATTATTTTAATTCAAATCTGAATTTTTATCATTTAAATCAGATTTTATTTCCTTTATTTGGAAAGTTCAAAACCATGAAAACCATTAAAAAATTGCTTTTAATAGATAAGTTGCTTTTACTGTATGTTTGAGACGTTTATTTCTGGGAAAAAATTTCTCCTTTATTATGCACGCAGAATGTGATAGACTATATTTAAATTAGATATTAAGTATAATTAGCAGCCTTGGAATAACAAATTTGACTATTATGCTGTATGTAAAAATTGGTATTGTGCTTTTGAAACTATTCTATTAACTACAATAATTATTTTTAACTAAAACAAATTTTGTTTCAAACCTCATGGATTTCACCATTTTAATAAAGAAGTAAAGCTGTATTATTTGATTCTTAAGAATTTCTTCAGCTTAAAAAGTTATTAAAATTTTAGATTTTAAATCCTCCTGAGATTTTTAGTGCTAAATTGAAAGGAACTGTCACTAGTATATAAGTTATAAACATTATAAATCAGATTTTATATTTTAAACCAGAATATCACATTTTATAAAATGACTAGATATAACTGTAACCAATGAATAACAGGCAGCTTCAACTGTTGTTTATAAAGATAATTTTCCTGTCTACTGGAAGCAATCTTACTTTTATTAAGTCCATTTCAGTGTAGTGACCACCACTAGTAAAATCACTGGATTGTAAAATCCAGTGATTTTACTAGTTTTTTCAAATTAAATATTCATGAACAGAATCAATATCAAAACGCGTTAAAACAATTCTTTAACAATTCAGAACCAAAAAGTGCTAAAGTCCTCCTTTAATAAAATCATGATCATCGTTTTATAAAATCTACCTTTTTTTTAGAGGGGCAATTGTTTTTTCTTGTCTGACTGTTTAGAATTTTCTTTTTTTCTCGAGTATTGAAATATTTGTAGTATACAGGCAATTTACCCTAGTCTGCAGCCACGAGAGAAAGAATAAATTAATTGAAAAAAAACAAACATTGGTTTAAGTTTTTATAAAAGGTGAAAATTGAAGGGTCAAAGAATGAATCAGGAATGACGAATCGAAAGGAAAGCTGTTAATAAATTAAGAAAAAGTTGTTTTATGTCCACCATCATTCAATATCAATCATCATCATTCAATTAAATGTAAGTTATAAAACGTTCACAATTAAAAAAGAATAATGAAGCAGCCGCAGGAAGAATCCAGTTGTAAGCTACCAAAAAAATGAATTTAATGTTTTCCTAATTCAATGAGATAAGCCATACAACAAAAAAACTATCCCTTTTTTATCAGTTATTTTATCAAACAAAGCGGAGCATGAAAAATCGAAGAACAGTTTCTAACAATTGTGTTCCATTATGATTCAGATATGAATAAAGATTAAGGGTACATTTTTACTTTCGTTTGAAGTTAAACTTAAACCATAAACATGCCTCTTTTGAAAGATTAGAATCTCAATGAAAAGTACAAAATTATTCTTATCAATCGTAGTGTAATATTAAAAGTTACAAAAACTTTAATAAACATTAGAATGAGGCTGAGTCTTACATTTTGAAATCTGCTAAACAAACAACAATATACTAATGCTTTAAGATCTTTCCATAAATTAAACAAAATTTGCTCACTTTAAATCAAAATGTCAAATGTAAATAAAAAACAGTTAATATTAAGTATAAATGTAGTTATAAATTTATATTTAAGTGCATTTAAGTTTAATTTAGAAATCTTTTTTTCTAATAGTAGATTTGTCGTTTTCTGAATTGAGCTCCTAAGAAAAAATAAATGGTGACCATAATAAATGTGATTTTAAAAAACAGTGCACGCTATATAGTGTATAATCTCCAGTCTTGTCACCATATTTTTTCCCTCCATGGTTGCTAAGCAACCGCCTTGTCTGAAGTAATATTTTCCATAAACATTGTACAGTTTAACTTTGTTAGGCATCTAACATTGATTTAACAAATTTTACCTGAAAAGAAAGGTAATATCTATTGTTGGTAAAAATTTCAGAAGTAATTGAATTTGCTTTTTTCTAAATCATATTTGTAGGAATATGCATTTTAAAAAGTCACGATTTAGAAGAAAATTTTAACAAACTCTTTTTAAAGCTAAACAAATTGAGAAATGCTGAATAAAATTATTTAATTTTATCAGTCAATATATGAGATTTTGCTTCATGTTTTCTGAGCAACGGAATGGAAAAATTTCTCCTAAACTTTAATAAGTATTCCTTGTTAGTTATCTTGTACAGATTTGACAAAGTTTGCTTAAAAAATCGCATCGATGCTGTGTATTTTTGATACAAACTCCGGAAATACACAAACAATTTCTTCAAAAAAAAAAAAAATCAGATTTTTCAAGTATACAATGAAAATTCTTTTTTACCCCAACTTGTTTATAAAGATTGTGATTAAATAGCTTCACCATCAATAAATAATTAATTCTAAATCTAATGCTACAAATATTTTATTCATTTTCAAACAAGTGACTTGCAAAATTTTTTTTTTTATAATTTTATCTTTTCAAGTGAATCAAATATATTTCAATAACCTGATTAGCAGCATGTCGTTGCAAAGTTTTTAAATCTGGACGCAACTCGAAATGCGGTGTTTTTAAAAAAAGTTAAGAAATATTTTAAGAAATAGCGTTTATATGATTAATGAAAAGTTAAGTTATTAAAGTTAGGTTAGGTTATTAAGTTAGGTTTAGTCATTAAATTTGGATTGAAAAGTGAAATGACGCATTTTTTGCTGTGTCCGTTTTAGTCTAAACAGGAATTTTGATCAGTGTCCATTTCCGTAAACAAGCATTTCGAACTGTGTCCAGATTTGAAAAATTCATCGACGGCATATTCAACATTCCGATGTATTTGTCACTTTCCCCTCATCATGTTCACCAATTTAAGAAGTTCAGATTTAGATCTGTTGCTACCAGAGTTTATGAATCGATCTTTAATACATTCTGGAGTGCTTTTCCACAATTCTCCAAATAATACTTTAGACGTATTTCTTTCTATAGCTTCTGTTGCAATGATAGTTACTATTCCCATGTGAAGATTCGCATCAATATAATCCCACATCTGATTAATCGTTGGCAAAAAATATGGATTATATGGCCAGTGGTTGTACAGTGATTTTAAAATCATTTCGGGATAAGTCTTTAAAACTATTTTCTGCTGCTTTTGGTCACTTAATTGTGACAACAAAAACAGAACGATGTCTGTGCATTCACTTGGCATTTGACTCTCATACCATCTGAGGCAATTATGCTGCCATAGTCCTGTTAGGTATTCTTTTACCCCTTTTGCCAGCCAACGTAATATGTTATAATCCGTTCTCTCTTCTTTCGCCAATTCTCGCCAAAAGTATTTAACTGCAGGAAAACTCTTACTAGAAATAGCTAATTTTAACATATTGTGAGAAATACTGTGTTTTCTTCGATTGAATTTGTGATGTTTGCAAAAACTGGATAGTTTATTCTCCAAAATGCAAACCCAATAAGAAATTAAGTTATAATCTAGACGCCGCCTAGGAAGTTTAAAATTAGTTGTATATTTAGAGCGAAACTTCTCTTTTTGGTTCCTTGTCATTCTATTCCAAAGGTCAAAAATAAGATTTTCACAACAACAATGGCATGCAAATTCAAACAACATTTCTGGGTAACTGGATACTGTATTGTCATGAAATACCGCATGTTCTAATGTTTTGATTTTATCAATAGTTCCCCAAGATGACCAATGAAAAGTTCCTTTATCTATCGAGTTATAGAAATAATAGTGTTCCCATCTTCTCATATCAAAGCACTTTATCATCTGCAATCCAATGGGTTTGACGAAATCTAAAATTTCTTGGTGCAATTTTTTTGGAATGCGTAATAATATTAATCTATTTCGAATAATATTTTCTATTACACGAAAATTATAACATCCTGCAACATACGGTTCACGTTCCTTATCCTGCACTTTCTTCAAAATTTCCTTTAGTTCCATTTTAACATCAGGCTGAGCTAATAAGCTGACAACTATTTGGACAATGGCCATGTTTTCCAGCGATGGAATTATAAATTGAGCATAGTTGATGAACTGTGGTTCCATGTTTAACCAATTGTTTCAAATACAGAAATTTTCAATGTCCCTAATCCTTATTCTTCCTACAAAAAAAATAATAATACTAATAACCTTGAGAATGTAAATCATTATCAAAAATTACTAAAACATTAATTTCCAACTTTAATTTTAAAACCAGAAAACATATCAAACTTGTGATTTAACAAAGCTATAATGCTTTAAATGTAGATGACATATTATATAAAATGTTAAACTGGTTTTTTTTCAGATTGTACACAATGAATTAATTATTTTACGAAAGTTTTCTCACTATATTTGTCGACAATTATTCAGTAAGCATTAAATTTCCTAGTTATGTTGCAAAAGTATTTTAAAAATATTTGTTGAATTCTACCCCCCCCCCGTAGCTCAAGTTACAAAAGTATTTAAAAAATATTAGCTAATAATATTTTTACGTCACAAAATGTCTTACTTATGATACAAAAGTATTTTTAAAATATTAGTAAACACTTATACACTGTAAAAAAAATTAGATCAAATTACTGTAAAAAGTGCCGTACTCAGAGTACCGCGAAGCGTATTTTTTTACCAGAACATGATACAGAAGAAAAAAATCCAATGTTCTGCAATTTTTACCTTAATAATTTTCCGTAAAACCACTGAATCACTCTAAATAAATAAATATTACTGAAAAATACGGGATTAATAATATTTCTCAGTTTTTCAAGTGTTTTTTGCAAGAATAGATAGCGCATGTAATATTCTACTGTAAAAATGTATTTTATGGTTAATGCACATAAAAACCTTGTGCCGGTATTTTGTACTGTAATTTTTGCATTGCACGTCACAAAATATCATAGACACATTGCAGAACTATTAGTTGCGTAATATTTCTACGTCATAAAAAATCCTAGACATGTTGCAAAACTANAACATACGGTTCACGTTCCTTATCCTGCACTTTCTTCAAAATTTCCTTTAGTTCCATTTTAACATCAGGCTGAGCTAATAAGCTGACAACTATTTGGACAATGGCCATGTTTTCCAGCGATGGAATTATAAATTGAGCATAGTTGATGAACTGTGGTTCCATGTTTAAATGTTTAACCAATTATTTCAAATACAGAAATTTTCAATGTTCCTAATCCTTATTCTTCCTACAAGAAAAAAATTAACCTTGAGATCGTAAACTATTATTAAAAATTACTAAAACATTAACTTCCAACTTTAATTTTAAAACCAGAAAACTTATCAAACTTGTGATTTAACAAAGCTATAATGCTCTAAATGTAGATGACATATTATATAAAATGTTAAACTGGTTTTTTTCAGATTGTACACAATGAATTAATCACTTAACGAAAGTTTTCTTATTATATTTGTCGACAATTATTCAGTAAGCATTAAATTTCAATAGTAAGTAATTCAGAAGAGCTCTGTGATTTTTTTTTGTCAATACCAGAATTTTTTCCACCCTGTCTTAAATAAAAAAGTTTTTTTTAATTCACTTGTTCGTTATTTTGAACTGATTTAACAAATTTACATTAAACAGCATCAATAGATTATATTGTCAGGGCTCACGCTAAGCATTTGCTACCTTTCCCAATGCGATAAAATCGTAAATTTGGCGAATAAAATTGTGTTTTGGCAAAAGTATTCGTGAATGATTTTTTCCGTTGCAAAGAAAAATATATCTTTAACTCGATCCTCAAAATTACGTCAAAATGAATTTTTCTAAGCAAATCAGTATTTTTTCTTCGATTGCAGTAATTTTCGGTAAATGCGGCGCATAACCAATTAGAATAGGGTCCCAATAATATAAACCTGAAACAAACTAAAGTAAAATAGTTTTCTATAAGAAAAACATTTATCGTCAAAAATTGTTGAGATTTACATTTGGCGAAGCCTTCCGGAAACTGGCGACTACTTTTGATATTTGGCTAATTTAGTATCGAATAATTTGAAATCCTTAACCCGGGCTCTGATTGTTAATGCAAATTCTGGGAATAAAAGATTTATTAAAAAAAATCATTTATTCAAAGTATATAATGAAAGAAATCTTTTTTTTAAACTTGTTTGTAAAAATTTACAAAACAAATAATTTTCTCAATCAATTTACTACAAATATTTTAATCCTGGGCATGAAATTTCAGTTTTAAAGATGCTGGCAGTATTAAGACTTTATTTCGCCACTTTTTAAAATGAAAAATATTAAAAATTTTTAACAGTTGTAGTATGAAGAGACTTTTAGTGACCGAAACGATAAGAAAATGTTGAAATTGTCTTATTCTTAGAGTTGTCTTATGTTTTAAATGCTTCTACAAATAATCGTTTCGGAGGTGAAAATTGAAAAACCCAACATTTTTAGCCAAATGAGCATAAAATTGCAAAATGCAAGCGATACCAAAACTTTTCTGCTTTATTGAGCAAGATAATCTAAGTGTTTATAGTTTAATTTAAAACATTTTAAAAAATGCAACTTAATCTCCAGCCTTGAATATTTGATCACAAATAGAGAGCTGGCAAGTGAAAATTTCGCACTATGTTTTAATCATTTACAAATAAATAGCATACAGACAAAAAAAATTCATCATTTCAATTAAAACAAAATGCATGTTCCAATATATTTCAGTACGTTTATTAGCAGGATACATTTAACGTACTAATGTATTTATCGTGATTATCCTAGGTCAACATATCAAGAAGGTCTGGCCTATTGGTACAGGACCTAATGAACCGGTCTTTAATATTTTCAGGAGTAATGTCCCACAATTCTCTAAGCAAATCTCTAGACGTATTTTCTGCATCTGTTACTATGGTAATTATCATCTCCTTGTGAAGATTCTCCCCAATATAGTCCCACATTTGATTGATTGTAGGTAAGAAATACACACTGTATGGCCAGTGGTTGAACAGGGATTTTAAAATTATTTGGGAATAGGAATTAATTGCTTTTTTCTGCTGCTTTTGGTCACTTAACTGTGACATCAAAAACAGAACGATGTCTGTGCATTCATTCGGAACTTGGCAATCGTACCATCTTATATAACCACTCCCATGCCATTCTCCTCTGCGATATTCTTTCACCCCTACATCCAGCCAATATAATATGTAATAGTCCTTTCTTTTTTTTCTCTCTAACTTATTCCAAAAGTATTTAACAGCGAGAAAACTCTTACTAGAAATAGCTAACATTAACATATTAAGAGGGATGCTGTGTTTTCTTCGACCGAATTCGTGACGTTCGCAAAAGCTGGTTAGTTTGTTTTCTAAAAGCGAAACCCAATAAGAAATTAAATTAGAATCCAGATACAGTCTGGAAAGTTTGAAAGTTGTTGCACCTTCCGAGCAAAGCTTCTCTTTTTGGTTCTTCGTCATTCTATTCCAAAGTTCGAAAATGCAGTTTTCAAGACAATAATGGCATGCGAATTCAAACAATGTCTCTTGGCTTTCCGAATCGATTTCAGAGCTGTTATCGAATACAGCTTGTTCTAATGTTCTGATTTTATCAATAGTTCCCCAAGATGTCCAATGGAACGTTTTTTTAGATATCGAATTGTATAAATAATAGTGTTCCCATTTTCTTAAATCGAAACACCTTATCATATGCATCCCAATGGGTTTGACGAAATCTAAGATTTCTTGGTGCAATTTTTTGGGAATGCATAATAAAGTTAGTTTATGAAGTATAATATTTCCTATTTCACTAAAATTATAATAACCCACGACATGTTGCATACGTTCCGTGTCCTGCACTTCCTTCACCATTTTCTTTAGTTCCATTTCAATATCCGGTTGAGCTAACAAGCTGGTAACTATCTGCACAATGGCTACATTTTTTAGCGTTGGTATTGGTAACACAGCATAGTTGATAAACTGTGATTCCATGATGAAATATTCATCCAATTGTTTCAAATACAGAAATTTTCAGAAATGTGCCAAATCCTTTTTCTTCCCGCTGAAAGTAAATAAAAAAATTTCTTAAAAGTTTTAAGTCATCAATGCTTAACTTAACGAATTTGTCAATTATGAAGGCTATAGTTTTGTAAGTGTAGAAGACAAAGAAGTGAAAAATTAAATTAAATTGCTTTTTCTCACATAAATCGAAATGCCTTAATTATGTTGCAAAAGTTTTTTAAATTTATTAGTTGACAAATATTTATCAAACACCAAATTTTCTTGTTATGTAGTAAAAGTATTTTAAAAATATTAGTAAATAGCTATACGTCTCAAAATCTTATAGTTACGCTCTAAAAGTATTTTTAAAACATTATTTCATTAATACTAATTTAGTACCGAATTCTGTAATTATGTTCGCTCAGTATTTTAAAAATGTTCGTTGATTTAAACCCGCACATCATAAAATGTCGTGCACATGCTGAAAAAGTGTTTTTAGAGTATTGGTAGACTAACACTCATATGTCACAAAATGTCCTAGTCATATTGAGAAAGTATTTTTAAAAAAATATTTGTAGAGTAATATCTATATGTCACATAATGTTCTAATTGTTTACGACCAGATGGTATATAGCTTAAAATAAAAGCTTTGCATTGAGTTTAAGGCATTTAAACTGATGCTTCATTTATAATTTTAATTTTTTTTAATATTTTATTCTTTGGTCAAAGGATTTTGAAAAACATTTAAAGATGTTTTTCAAAATCCTTTGGCCAAAGAATAGAATACACAAAAAAAAGTACCCTTTAATTCCTTATTTACGTTCTTCATCGTAGCGTTCAAAAACCAAATATACACTGAGTGGCCAAATTATTATGACCACCTCAGAGTTTTATGCAAATTAGTTATTGCGTCACAGCGCTGCAGCTAGAGGGCAAGATAACCATAACACGGGAATGCTGGACAAGTGAGTAATCAGTTATACTGTGTTGCTTGCTCAGATATGGGGAAAAAAAAGTGATTTAACTGAATTTCAACGTGGAATGATTGTGGGTGCGAGATACGTCGGAACGAGCATCAGCAAAACGGCCGCACTTGTGGAGTGTTCTAGAGCAGCAGTTGTTAATGTGTACAAAGAATGGACAATCAAGCAAAAATCCGGATCTCAACGTCAGACTTGTGGTCGTCACAGGGTACTGAATGCTCGATCAGAGAGAAGGCTGGTCAGGGTTGTGCAGCGCATCAGGAGAGCAACAGTGTGACAAATTGCAAGTGATCTTAATCAAGGAGCAACTGTGAACGTCTCTGAACGTACTGTTCGACGCACATTGCGCCGTATAGGGTATGGAAGCAGACGACTGAAGGGGTGGTCATAATAATTTGGCCACTCAGTGTGTATTATCACTTATATTTTTATTACTCAATCCTGCCCCGCCCCCGCCAGTGAGCATCCAGGCAGTATACTGGTTGATTACAAACATTATTATTAACATGATGAATTGAAAACATTTGAGAACATAAAACTGAAAATATTGTGGGTGGTGAACATTTACAGATGGAAAGATGAGTTCAATCGAAACACTTAATTTACAAGTATACTGTAACCCCTGTATGATCAATCGTCCGCCAGTTCTGGAAGATTGTTTTCAAAATGTTTTTTAATTATATGTTCTATTCACTTACTTATCCTTGGGACTGTCCATAATTTCTGATGGTCAGATTTGATGGAAAGTATAGGTTACGGTTACGGATGTCCCGAAATTTCGGACAGGTAAGTAATATATGTTCAAGATCGTCTAGACCAGTGTTCCCCAACCTTTTCATCACCGCAGACCTGTCAACGTTTGATAATTTTACCGCGGCCCACTGGGGGGGAGGACGTTAATTATTTCGTATTAATTTAATTTAATTGTATTTAAACGTGCCTTCAAAATAAAATACAGTTATACCAAAAATTAAGTATAAAGTGTTTTAACATTTTAACTTACTAGAATGTTAAATCAATGAGAACCCTGAGCTTGTTTCTTTGCAATGAGACGGTTCCATCAGGGGGTAATCGGAGACAATGATACATTACAAACATTAAAAAATTTATGTCACTGCCTTCGGGGGCCACTTTTTTTAAATAAATAAAATTTTATTAGAACACAGATATTTTTTATTTGGGGTATAAACCTAGGAGTTTAAATTCAGTTTCAATGAAATGGGCGGACCGGTACCATTTGATCCACGGACCGGTACCGGTCCGCGGACCGGGGGTTG